GTGTATGTGAGCGTCTGTGACTAAATGAGAAAGAGAGGCAGTCCTAGTGAGGGACCTCAATGCCTCCTGGTCATGGCCATGAGAGGGCATTTACCAGCTCTGGGTTGGCTTGAGTTGGTTGGTGCCTGAACAGGTATGCAAAACAGACTCCTGCTTGTTTTGAGCTGAGAAAAACTGAATTGTCTCCTTTGTCTTCCTATAAGTCCTTGGCCCCAAAAGTGGGCTGGACTCCTGTGTCTTACAGCCAGCAGGTGATCGTGCGTGCCAAATGCTGCTGATTGGTTGTAGTATAAATACCCCCACATGACAGTAGTGTCATAGCTCGCTCCTCACTGCACCCAATGGGTGTGTGGTGGCTACTTGTGGCCCTAGATGCCATATGATCAGATGGGCATGGCACCTTGGGGTTGCCCTCTGCTGCAGGAACTGTTAGGGAATCTATATCCAAGTCTCTGAATTAGCGCATGGGAAAAGCCAGATAGATCACATGCCAAGATCTTGGACAAATGTAGATGGACTTTATAGAGATTCTGCTCCTCAGTGAAGGAATGAAATAGGCTCTTGTGTGTGGACACGGTTACCAGCTTGTTTTCCATTGGTGTGATTCCCTTCCCTTCCTTGGCTCTGTGGAAATCATGGAACAAATGAATTTCTTCAAATCAATTGGTCAGGTAGCTATCTTCCAAATTTCTTGCCATACATGGGTGAGCACCTTTAGCGCTATATCCATTTATTGAAACATTTCATTTGGTATTCCTTTAACTCTTGGAGCCTTGTTTTTCAACAATGCCTTCAGTGCAGCTTGGACGTCTTCCTTCAATAGCATCGATTATTGACCTATTTTGTCAAACATGCCTGACCAACAGCTAGGAAATCTATTAACTGTCAAAACCACCCAGATCAGGAGGCTTGATTTCCCGAAACATATGGCTCTGGACATTCTGACAGCCACTCAACGTAGGACACATACTGTAGTGAAGACTGAATGTTGTATCTATATACCAGAGGGCCAATAGAATGTTACTAATTTATTAAGGTTACGTGAAGAAGCAGACCAAGATCCTGGGCATGCCTGATGGCTGCTTGGCTGTGGCTGCCTGGTTTTCCTCTTTCTTCTTTAGCTCAAAAAAGTGTTTGCTGGGTGTTAGTCTTGTACTGAACTGTGTTCGCCTATATTGTTGCTGTGGCCTATGCTTCCAGCTGTCTGTCCCTGCTTACCTAATTGTGACACCTCCCCTGGGGTTCTCAGAGATTTTGCAGAAGAGAGGGCCGTGTCAGATTTTAGGAGCCAGCCTTGTTGTTAAGTACTATCAAATTGCTTCTGACTCACAGCAACCCTGTATAGGGTTTCCGAGGAGCGGCTGGTGAGCTTGAACCACCAACCTTGCCGTTCAACCATCGACTTTAGGGTTCAAACTAACCTTGCAGTCCAATGCATTCACCCACAGCAGTAGGATTCCAGCTTGGAGGGGTGGAATGCAGGGAAACAGGTTTTAGCAAGGCCAAACAAATATGGGTACACTCTTGTTTGCTGCTCGCTCATTTCTGCATGCTAAGATGACTTTGGAGGTCCAGGGCCTTTACTCCATGCCATCTTTGTTTGCCAGAGCTATAAAAGCCCCTATCACTGCAGGATGTGGAGACTCAAGCCTGCTCTGCAGGTCCAGCGGTTTGCCTCAGTAAGTAGTAACTCCTTACCTGTTTTTGTTAGGTGCTGTTGAGTTGGTTCATAATAGCAACCCTAGGTACAACAGAATGAAATACTGCTCAGTCTTGTGGTAGCCTCACAATTACTGCTATGTAGGAGTCCTGGTGTGGCATGGTGGGTTAATGCACCCGATTGCAAAGTCATTTGAGCTACAAGGTCAGTGGTTCAAGCTCACCAGTTGCTCTTTGAAAACCCTATACAAGGTCGCTGTGGGTTGCAACCAATTCAATGGCACTTAGCAACAAATGAGCTCATTGTTACAGCCACTGGGTCAACCCATGCCATTGAGGGGCTTCTGAGGAGCTCCCTCTTTTTCACTTATTGTTTTCGTTAAGTGCTGTTGAGTCAATTTCATCCCATAGCGACCCTGTATAGGGTTTCTGAGGAGCAGCTGGGGAGCTTGAACCACTGACCTTGCAGTTCAAACGGCTTTGCAGTGTGGTGCATTAACCCATAGTGCCACACCAGGACTCCTTACCCTCTACTTTACCAAGCATAATGTCCCTCCTGATAACATGCCCAAAGTATGTGAGATTTGTTCATTCTTCTGGCAGTTCGTAGTGCATTTAATATTCTTTAACAGCATAGCCCAAATGTATCAATTCTTCTGTCTTCCTTAGTCATTGTCATTCTTTCCCATGTATATGAGGTGACTGAAAACACTATGGCTTGGGTCAGCTTACCTTAGTCTGCAGATCAACATCTTTGCTTTTTAACACTTTAAGGAAATCTTTTGCAGATTTTTCAATGCAACATGTTATTTGAGTTCCTAAATATCGCTTCCATGGGCATTGCTTCTGGATCCAAGTAAAATGAAATACTTGACAACTTCAATCCTTTTTTCTGTTTCTTATAATGTTGCTGACTGGTCCAGTTGTGAGGATTTTTGTTTTATGTTGAGGTACAATCATATCGAAGGCTGTAGTCTTTGACCGTCATCAGTAAATGTTTCAAGTCTTCTTCATGTTCAGCAAGCAAGTTGTGTCATCTGTGTTACTAATGAGTCTTCCTCCAATCCTGATACTGCATTCTTCTTCATGTAGTTCAATTTTTTTGGATTATTTCTCAGCATACAGATTGAATAAGTCTGGAGAATGGATACAACCCTGGTGCACACCTTTCCTGATTCAAACCAGGCAGTATCCCCTTGTTCTGTTGAAACAACTGCCTCTTGGTCTATATACAGGTTCTGCATGAGTACAATGGTGTGTTCAGGAATACCCATTCTTCACAATGTTATCCACATGCCTTTGCATAGTCAGCAAAGCACAGACAAACATTTTCCTGGTTTTCTTTGCCTTTCATTCAAGATCTTTTTGACGTCAGAGATCAGATATATTATACCATGTCCTCCTCTGAACCAACCTGAGTTTCAGGTAGTTCTCTGTCAATGCACTGCTGCAATCTTTTTTGAATTATCTTCAACAAAATTGCATGTGATATTCTTTGATAATGTCCGTATTCTGTTGCATCACCTTTTTGGAAAGGGCACACAAATGAATCGCTTCCAATCAGATAACCAATATGTTGTCTTAAAAATTTCTTGGCATAGATGAGTAAGCATCTCCAATACTGCATCTGTTTATTGAAACATCTGTTGGCATTGTCATTTCCTGGAGCCTTGTTATCAATGCCTCTAGTGCTGCCTGGATTGCTTTCTTCCAAGAACTATCATTGGTTCTTGATCATATGCTACCTTTTGAAATGGTTGTACATCAACCAGTGTTTTTGGTTTGATGACTGTGAATTCCTTCCATCTTTTGATGTTTCCTGTGTCAGTCAACATTTGGCCCATAGAATTCAATATTGTAACTCAAGGCTTCAAGTTTTTCTTCAATTCTTTCAGCTTGAGAAATGATGAGCATGCTCTTCCCTTTGATTTTCTAGTTCTAGGTCTTTACAGCCTTTATTCTTTATGCTTTTCTATATACGCTTTTATACATACACACACACACAAGAACACAAGTTGTTATTGTTAAGTACCGTTGAATCATTTCTGACTCATAGCAACCCTGTGTAGGGTTTCTGAGGAGTGGCTGGTGAGTTTGAACCCCTGACCTTGAGACCGACGTTGCAGTTCAAACCAACCTTGCAGTCCAGTGCTTATCCTACAGTGCCACACCAGGACTCCAAGAACACAAAATGAGGTTTCAAAAAATAATTTTCCAAGGACTTTTTGGAGCCCTCTGGTACATACACACATACATATATTTCAAAACCAAAACAATTGCTATGGAGTCAATTCTAACTCATAGCAACACTATAGGAGAGAGTAGGACTACTCCTTAGGGTTTCTGAGACTAAATCTGTGAAAGAACAGGCAGCCTCATATTTCTCCTTTTGAGTAGCTGGTAAGTTTGAACCGCCAACCTTTGGGTTAGCTGCTCAATGCTTATCCCACAGTACCACCGGGTCTCCTGTATATTGATGCTTTTGAGTTAAGTTGTTGGAGGAGAATATTGAAAGTACCATGAGCTGCCAAAAGAACAAACATAATTGTGTTGGAAGAAGTGCAGCCAGAGTGCTCCTTGGAGGCCAAGATGGACAAACTTTGTCTCTTATCCTTCGGACATATTGTTAGGAGGGACCAGTCACTGGAGAAGGATATCATAAGGTGGAGAATCAGAGAAAAAGAGGAAGATCCCCAGAGAGATGGATTGGCAAAGTGGCAGCATCAATGGGCTCAATGTGTGGCAACAATTTTCAGATTGGCCCAGGACCAGACAGTGTTTCGTTCTGTTGTGCATAAGGTTGCTATGAGTCAGTACTGACTTGATGGCACCTAACAATAACAACAACAACCATCAAGTCAATTGCAACGCCTAGCAACCCTGTACTGGGTTTTTGAGGCTGTAAATCTTTGTGGGAGCAGATAGCTTCCTCTTTCTTTATCAGAGTGGCTGGTGGGTTTGAACTGCGGACCTTGTGGTTAGCAGTCCAGTGCTTATCCTACAGTGTCACTAGAGTTCCTATATACTCCAATGTGGGCTTGACTTATTTTTATAATATCAATTGTTGTATTTGTTTTCAGAGAGAAAACAACACACAAAAGTCAATTGTTAAAGTAGGCATTTATTCAGAGGACATATGCCAAGAAGAGACTCCCCGAGACCAGCTTGGGGGTGGGAGGAATTAGTGGTCCTCAGCTTCACCCCATTTTCGGAAGACGAGAGCTTTAGCGTTATGTTCAGACTAGTCCTGCAGGAAGTCCCAGAGCAGATTTCAGCGTAGACTCTAGGGTGTGAGCCTGTATGTCTGATCTGCCTGCTCACCCACCGCTCAGTGCGTCTGTATCCCAAGGAACTGGGGTATCAGAGACGGCACAGGAAATCATGCAGGGGCAAGGCCACGGCCCCTGACAAGGAGATCCCCAAGGTGTCGGAGATACAGGCAGCTGTCATGGCAAATTCCCGGTGCTTATCACTGGTCTGGGTAGGAGAGAGACGAAGGTCGAGTTTCTGTCCTGAGGATCCCACCCTGGGCTTCTCCAGAGGAGCACCCCCACAGCCCTAATCTGGTTGGTACTGACCTCCAGGGCAATGTTGTGAAAGGTGTTCACGTAGGCTGCACCTCCCAGGAGCCCCTCATACAGAGTGATCAGAAAGACGAGGTAGATGCTTGGTAGGAAGTTGAACCACACGGCTGCCATCAGGAAGCCCAGGTTGAGGCACTATGGAAGCAGGCAGAGTGGAAGGCTGCGTCAGGGAGCCTGGGCTTCCTAGTCAGTAGACTCTGGTTCTGGGAGATAGGTTGTGGGAAGGGAGAGGGTGACAGGCTTGGGTGAAATCCGAACACCCAGCCTAGCCTATGAGAGCCTAAGATCAGACCCAAGCTGCCCACCTGCCCTACAACTTGTATACCCCTGCCTTGCCTTTGCTGGCTTTGCTGTATCACTCCATCTACCTGGAATGCTATCCTCCCTTTCCTTACCTAAGGTCACCTTTCATGTCTCATTTTAGACCAGGATCCCTCACAACCCCTGTTGTTGTTAAGTGCTGTGGAATCGGTTCCGATCCTATATAGGGTTTCTGAGGAGCAGCTGGTGAGCTTGAACCAGTGACTTGAAGTTCAAACAGACTTTGCAGGCGTGCGCATTAACCTGCAGCTCCGCACCAGGACTCTACAACCCCTGTTGAGTGTTCCCCATTTTGCTAAATGAGCTGACTGTGGTTCTCAACCTGGGCAATTTTGCTGCCCAGGGAACATCGGGAAACCTCTAGAGCCATTCTAGGCTACTACAACTGGTACTGGCATCTGGTACCTGATGCCAGGGATGTGGCTAAACATTCTACAGCACACAGGACAGTTTGGCAACAAATGATCTAGCCCAAAGGTCATTAGTGGCAAGCCTGAGAAACTCTTCCTTCCTTCCTCTTCTTCAGGAATCCTTCCAGAGCCCCGCCCCACCCCTAGGGTCTAAGTCCCACCACCCAGTGGTTCACACCCTTTATGAAGTGTCTCCTGGGGAACTTGTTAAAGCTTCTGAAAAATGCGTCCCCAGGCCTTTGCCTTAGAAGTTCAGGAAGTCTGAGGTGGGCACAGAGATCTGCATTTAAAACAAAGAAGCGTGGTAATGCCACAGGCGGTAACCCACACTGGGTAGAAACACCACAAACATTTTCATGTGTAACATAATGCCAGACCCTTTCTGTAGTGGGAATAAATGATTACAAACCCTAATCCTATGATGAGAGTCCTGTAAGCACTAGACTACTAACTACAAGGTCGGTGGTTCAAACCCACTAGTTGCTCCTCAGAAACCCTATACAGGGTTGCTATGAGTCAAAATCGACTTGATGGCACTTAACAACAACAAATACTTCTTCTAGATCTTATTATGGGAAACTTGAGTCTGGTAAGTTCATTTTAAAAGGGCAAAGGAATCTTCTGTAATAGATAGAGGTTTACTTTAATGCTTACCTTTAAGGGGTATACAAATAATGAATGCAGGCTTTATGAAAGGACATTTGTTAACTACTGTCAACTTAAAACTGTCGACTATGGTTTGCCATGAGTAGTTGAATTTGCTCCCCAGCCTTGAGCTAAATAACCCATGATCTTGCCATTAATTCTATTATAAAATTGACCATCCAGAATACAAGAACTTATTTTGGTGTTTTTTTTTTCATTAGAAATGTGTGAAAGCCAGCCTTTTTGTAAAAGACTTGTGCAAATAAACATGAAATACATGTTTCTAACTGATTAAAACAGAACTCAAAAGTTTATTCTTTTGTTTTTCTCATCTCTATTCATATCTACCCCAGGATGCTGATGTTGGCTACCCTCAACTTACAGATGAAGAAATTGTGGCTCAGAGAGATTGGAAGAGTTGTCCTAAGTCACACAGCTACTAAGTTCAGAAGTTGCAATTTGAACCGGGGTTTACCTGGCTCCTGAGGCCTCCTGTTCCCACTGCTAAGAACAGGACTGCACGCAATAAACACTTCTGGTAGTGTAGTGGTTACGAGTCAGGCTGCTAACCTCAAGGTCAGCAGTTCGAAACTACCAGCTGTTCTGCAGCAGAAAGACAAGGCTTTCTGCTCCCGTTAAGATTTATAGCCTCAGAAATCTTATGCAGGGTCTCTATGAGTGGGAACTGACCCCATAGCATATCACCATCACCATCACTGAGGGAGGGAGGAAGGGAAGCAGCAGGGTCTGGGGAAGTTGGGAACCAAGGAAGGAGGGGAGTAAGAGAGAAAGGTTTGGTACCTGCAGCAGGGCTAAGGCCCAAGTGTAGCGGATGCGATAGCACCGGAGAGAAGAACGGGAGGCAAAGACGCCGGCCTGGTACAGCATCTGGTACCTGAGGCAGGGAGGGCAGGGAGTAGGGGCGGCTCCTCCCAGTGCCTACTAGCAGGGCAGCCCATCATCACGGGCCCTTCCAGGCCAGTGTCCATCTGGCCACCCCCTCACCCGTCTCACCAGCGGTACTGCTCAGCATGAGTAAGAGAGGTGTTCCGGAAGAAGAGGAGCTCAAACTGCAGCAAAGACCAGACAGGGGACAAGGATGAGGATGTGTGGGTCCCCACCCCAATTATGGATCCCTCCCACTCCCAGTTCCCCTCACTCACCAGTCCCTGGTTGATGAAATACTCAGCAAAATAGACCAGGACCAAGGGTATGATGTGTGGCAGCAGGCTCTGAAGTTAGAAGACACAGGGGAAGGCTGAGAGGCGGCAATCTCCACAGGGTACACTCCACAGCCACCAGCCATACCTTGAACACTGTCCACCTTTCCTGAAGGGAGAGGCCTGAGCTGGAGTCTGAGAAAGAAAGGAAAGGCAGGCCTCAGCAAACGGGTGCCAGTAATGGAAGAGAAAACCAGGTGGCCAGCCCTTGAGAGTGGGACATCTGTGCATCTTGGTTAACTACGGCTCCCTCTTTGTTTCTTGAACCTCCACGCTCATTCCTACCTCAGGGCCTTAGCATCTACTATTCCTCTGCCTGGAACCTTTTCACCTGATGCCCACAGGCTGGCACTTTGTTATTCAAGTTTCAGCTCAAATATCGCCTCCTCCAAAACGCCTTCACTGACCACTTTCTCCAACAGGAACTCTTTTCCATTGCTCCTCCAGCTGTCATTTCCTATCACATCCCTGCTTTATCTTCTCCAAGCTCATCAGTATGGAAAAACAACTGGTTCCTGATTCATTGATTTGTTTGTGAATCTGCCTTATTTCCTTAAGTATCTTTGTCACCATTGCATCCCCAGAATTTGGAATACCTGGCGCATAGCATGTGTTCAATGAATAGTGTTGGAAGAGATGAATGCACTAGGCTCTTACCACGGTAGAGAGGAAAAGATGAAATTTCAGAGCAACTTAGCTGAGGGACTGGGTCTCCTACCTGCTTTTTTTTTTTTTTTTTTTTTTTAAATTAAATGTTTTTATTTTGCATTGAGTGAAAGTTTACAGGGCACATCATCAGCTTCACATTCAACCATTCATATAGCTTGTTTCATTACATTGATTATTATCCCCGCCATATATCATCAGTTTACTCCTACCTGCTTTTGATTCTGGGGGCTCGTTGCTCATTAGGGGCTGCTGAGCTGCTGTTTCTGCCTCTTCTTCCCCTCCGGGATCCTGGGCTGCCGGGGATGTGAGCAACAAGAAATAGCTACAAGTGTGGAGAATGGAGACAGGGTCAAAGAGCCTCTATTGGGCTGGAGAGGCTCTCAGAGGCCATCTAGTCCCCTCCTTCTCAGGGCAGTGTCCCAATTGTATGCTTATAAAAATGGAGAGCTCACTACCTCTCAAGCATCCCATCCATCGTTGGAGCCAAAATTTGTTTCCTTGTTGCTTCTACCCATTGACCCTTTGACCCTTTGTAACTCTTGGCTCACACATCAGTTTTGCTTTCTTGTAATTATTATCCTAGTGCTTGTCCTAGCTGGCTTCTGTCATGTGCTCACTCTGCTAGGCCAGAAATTGGCACATTGTAGTCACTATGCTTTATCTTCATGGTAATTGTCACTTCTACATTCTTCCTGTATGTAATATTAGTTACTTAACATTTTACTTTAAATGGACTCACTCTGGCTATATGACCTTGTCTTTAACATCACACCCATCCTTGTGAACCATACTGCACTGGGCGCTTCATGCACATCACCTCACGGACAATTAGCATCATTTGAGATACAAGGAGACAGAGGGTCAGTGAAGTAGCTTGCCTAATGCCACACAGCTAACAGGTAACATTAGAAGTCAAAGTGAGGCCTATCAGAGTCCAGAACCCACATCCCCTAGTAACAAGGCTGCAGGTATCTGAAGACTGGGATCATGATCCTCTCTACCTTCCTCCCAGCGCAGAGCAACTCACCTGGCCAGCAGGAGGGCAGGGATACCCAGCATGGACAGCAGGGTGTGCTGTGGGGAGAGGCCAGCCTGGGTGAGACCCAGGTAGGACAATGCCCCCAGCAGCCCAGCTCCACCAGTACCCGAGGACCACCAGGAGATCACGGCCCTGGGGAGGGAAAACAGGAGCATTCAGAAGGACCAAAGGTGAGTAGCCAGTGTCCTCCTCTCTTATCCCCTGCTGTACCTGCTTACCTGGGGTAGAAGGAGGTGAGTGACAGGAAGGTGATTTCCCCCAGGCCTGATGAGATGCTAGCCAAGACCACACCTGAGGGAGGGCAAGCAACAGAGATGGCCACACCTAGTCCTTCCCCGATCACCACAGTCCCCTCTTCTGCTCAGCTCAGGAGACAGACTGGGCTCCAGAACTGCAGTGGGGCCAGCCACTTCCCTTGCATCTCTCCTTAGAGAAGGGTGCTTCAGAGTCCCTGTGATGAACCCTGATGTCTCCTCCACCCCCAGCACAGAGTCTCTATTTAACCAATTCATCTCCCTCCATCTCCACCACCAGCTACCCCAGTAAGCTGTGCCGTCATCGCTCATCTCCTACTCATAACCACCTAACAATTCTTCTGAAAGTTACAAAACTCCTTGTCCTCTGGGCATCCAGCTCAAATGCTCTATTGAGGCTCCTCTGGGGCCTACACCCGACACAGACCCTCACACTCACCACACAGGCTGGTTCCCACAGACTGAGAAAAGGCAACCAGGATGAAGCTTCCAGCAGCGCAAACCCCACTGATGAGCACCCGAGGGCTGAGAGGTAGGAGGGAAGGAGGACTGTCAGCCTCTGCTCTCAGCACCCCAGACCTGCTGCTACTCCCATCACCCTCTCAGATCCCACCTGCCCTTTCCCTGCCACCCCTGCTCAGACCTGTAGGGCACCAAATGAAGGCCAAAAGGAGCCAGCAATTTGATGAGGAGGGTAGGAAGAATGTCTGCCAGGAGCACCGCCTGGTACAGGAAAACAGAGTGAGACTTCTGGCCTTCCCAGGAACACCCTCCCAACCACGTGGTTGAGGAAACGATCCAACCCATCAGAACTGCTATAAACATGGGCTCTGGAGTTAGACAGATCTGGGTTCAAGTCCCAGCTCTGCTTCTCCAGAGCTGTGTCTAAGCCTTAGTTTCCTCATCTGGAAAATGGTGATGATGACAGTGCTTGGCCCACGGGACTGTTGTGTGTATTAAATGAGCTCATGTATGCTGTATGCACGGAGGGCTCAGTGAATGGTGGGGTTTATCATCCTGGTCAGATTCAGAGGGCCTGGGTCAGGTGAGGACCAGATAGCACGCACTCACAGCTGTGGAGACAGAGTTGCAGTCAAAATGAGATGAGCCATTATGAGGGACAGGTGTTGGACTTGGGTCCACCTGACGAAAGAGAAGGAAACCTTCATTACCCAGGGAGGCAAAGGAGGATACACGGGGATCTGGCTGCGGTCTAGTTCTGCTCTGAGTTGAAGGTAGTCTTGGGTCAGCACTGCCTTCTCAAGACTTTAGGTTTTTTTTTGTCATCACAATGGAGGGATGGAGTCCAGAGAAGTCTCAAACTAATAGATGCCAGGCCAAATATAGCCCTGCAAATGAACATTCAGGAGCTCTCATAGAAAAATCTGAATTTCCAGAATCTGATCTTGGACCTGCAAGGTGGTAGCTGTTTCCTTTGGAGGGGACAATCATCTTCCAGATCACCACAGACCAGCGGTTCTTAATCAAGGTCAAGTTTACCCTTCTGGAGATAGTCTTGGTTGGATAACTGGAGGGGTGAGGGTGGTCACTGACATCTAATGGGTAGCAGCCAAGGATGCTGTGTATCCTACAACGTCCAGGACAGCCCCTCCCCATCCTCCAACAAATAACGATCCAGCCCAAAATGTCACTAGTGCTACATTGTGAAACTCTACCACAGGTCATTGTCTCATCTAGCTAATATTTGAGTTTATAATCCCCACAGTGAGCAATCTCTTGAATAACCTGCTTACTCTGAGGATCTAGGAAATGGAGAATTTTATCCCCCCTTGTCCTATTGGCCACCCTATTCTGAAATTTTCAAGGTGATCTTTGTCCCAGGGTGAGTCCATCATCTTCCCTTAGGGACCAAACATGGTGGTGGTGGTGGAGGGAGGGGGACACTTACATGGCTGTGGTTCCCAGGTGTCCTCTGGTGTTTGAGGATGTCATGGGCAGCACTGAGCATCACCACGTAAGAAAAGTTGTTGCAAAGGCCTAGAAGCCTGGAGTAAGCAGGACAGATCTTACTCACCTTTCAGGTTTGCAATCTATCACTGTCCTAACATCAAACCTCCCCCTTACCCATGCCTTCATTCAGCTCCCTCTTTTTCACATTGCATCACCAGATTCCATCTCCATTCAGTGCTGAGGTTAGAAACACAAGACATGTGTTCACCTCCATACTCTGAGATCTCTCCCAGAAAGCTTTTCTTGATCATTCTCTCCTCTGAGTTCCACTATAATTCAGTCTTGGGGCATTTCTCATCCACTGACCCACTGCTTCTGATGCACTGTGGTACAGCGGAAAGTCCCAAGGCTTGAAGCCCAAAGGAATGGGTTTCGATCCTAAATCTGCGCTGCCTACTTGCGTGGCCTCAGTCTACTCATGCGTAAAATGCGGATACATGTTCCTCTCCAGTTGATCTCACAGTGCTATAAGCATCAAAATAAGATAACACAGAAGTCCTTTATGATCCATCAAGGATTTTATTTGCTTAATCTCATCTCCCAGAGCTATTTACGTTCAGTGATGGCAAGGAAGTTGGCACAGGACCAGGGATTTTATAAATGTCATTTTCACAAGCCTATGAAGTAGACTGGAGTCCTGGTGTGGTGCTGTAAGATAATGCACTGGATTGCAAGGTCGGTGGTTCAAACCTACCAGCTGCTCTTCAAAAACCCTAGACAAGATTGTTATGAGTTGGAGTCGACTTGAAGGCACTTAACAACAACACATGAAATAGAACCAACTCAATGGCACTTAACAACAACAATGAAGTAGTATTACTACACTTCCCATTTTACTATTGAGGAAACTGAGGCTCAGATAAGAGACTAGCAAATTCTTATATGGGAAGTGGTCCAGCCACTTCCAGTTCAATTTGTCACCAAAGACCTTGCTATTTACACTAATAGCAGAAATATTTCCTAAGGGGTAGTACTGAAATGGTCTTTGGAGGTAGATGTAAGACCGTGAATTTTTTTTTGTTTCAGTAATGGTGTATTTTTTTAAGTGTGCATTAGGAAAAGTATTGGTTTCCCCTTTGGAGTAGTTATTTAAAGATTCCTTTAAGAAATAAATGTATTAAAAATTTTGTGAAGGGTGAAATGGTTAGAGGAAAAACATTAAGTAGTAAATAATCTAGTTTGAGAACCAGGCAAAAATGTGAGGGTTGTGAAAGAATGAACTTTGGGAAATCTACACACAGCCCCTGGGCAAAACAGTTGGTTAAGTATTTGTAAATTCAAACTCCTCTTCCCAAACTCAATCATTTGCCCCGTCTCCCCATTCCTTTCTTCTTCCCGCCCCATTTCCACCACCCCTGAGACCACTCACCAAAAGCCCATCGCGTTCTTCCAAAAAGCACCCCGATGGCCCAACAGCGGAGACCGGTGTTCGGGGGCGGTCTCCTCCCCTGAGAGTGAGAGAAGAAGAGCATGACCCCCCACCTCACTTGCAGGTGCATGACGGGCCCAAGGGGTGTCCTTCCCGGATCGAGCCCGTCAGGTAGGGCTGAGGCTGTCACTCTCGTGAGGGCGGGCCCGAATATTCACCTTCGGAATCCGAAAGGCGCCGCCATGAGTCCGCGCAGCAATCCATGGCATCAAGTTTGAGTCCCCCGAAGAGACCTAGGTCAGTGATCGCTCGGAGTTAGCTCGGACTGTGGGGGATACGTATGTGCGACAGATGAGAAAGATCAACGCCCCATTGCCGGTCCAGCTCCGGGTACTGTGGGGAACTCGCGCCTAGAGATCCATCCCTTACATTCTGGACTCCAACTCGCGCCCCCTTACGTTCACCACGCTCCACCCGTCAGACTCCACTTCTGCCCTCTCTAAAGCTTGGAGTCCTGTACCTTTAAGAGCAGCTGAGCATTTAACAACAAGGACCTACAGGATGGCAGGTCACGCGGTAGCACCGGGTCCCATCACGTGCTCAGTGGTTCTCGCTACTTCCGGGTTCTCCCTAAGTCTTCGTTGTTTGTTGTTGGTAAGTCCCAGGGAGTCAGTTCCGACCCATAGCGACCATTTACAAGGGTTTTCAAGGAGCGCCTGATGAGCTTGAACCACCACTTTTGCGGTTCAAACGAACTTTGTCGTCCAGTACATTAACCTACAGCGCCGCACCAAATTCCGGGGCGTGGAACGTGGCTCAACCCGGAGAACTCTGGAGCTGATGATTTAAAATTGGAGCCATGACGAACGATTAGCGGTCTTCCGGACCTTGACAGTATCCTGCCAGCACTAGTTATGGCTGTGGGCAGCTTCATCTGCTCTACCGCTGTCCTCACATGCCAGAAACAAATATGACCATTTGCCTACTAATTTCAGACAGAACTATTTCTGGCTATGAACAAAGATGACCAGCTTCAGGTCATTCATTTTGCCATCTGTTGACTAAATAATTTTGGAAACCGAAAATAAAGATAACATCTAAGTTGATTTGATAAATTATCTATTGGCGGTATCGAAGACATCCTTTTCCAAATGATCCTAGAACCAAAGAAGAGGACACGTGAGAAAATCAATGTACCAAAAAGGGAAGCTATTGACAAACATACAACGTTAGCTCTAGGGGTGTGCTTAGCCTTTCAGAAATAAGAAATAGAGCTCTAGAACCAGAGAGCCATTTTGAAGGATTCCTGCCCGCTTCCGTGGTACTTAAAACCAGCTCATTCTAAAGCCCGATATTCTGATTCTGTAATCCATTTCGCCTAACTTCACAAAAGAAGTGGCATTTAGGGGGAAGGCGGAGAGAGCGGTCCCATATTCTCAAATAGGCAGTGATTCTGCTACTTTCCTCTAGGTGGCTGCCAAGGCAACCTCCTGAATGCTCTGTATGTATCCTTCTCAGCAGGTCTCTGCTATGGGTTTCCAGCAGCCTGTGATCCCCTCTCTCCTACCACCAGGCCTGGAGAGCTCTTTGTATTGTACCCCTTGGGTGTGCTTTCCAATTACAAATAAGCTCTTATTACTCATGCGCCTTAAAACACCCACTGGCGACTCTTGTAGTACAATAGTGAATAATTGCTATCAGGACTGACTGTGAGGGTTGGAAATGTAAAGGTAGACGTTTTGTAGCAAAAGGCAAGGAGTGGTTGACTTTGCAGTTCAGGAACAGAGGTCCCTGGGACCATAATGGGAGAAGAGCAGAGTGAGGGACCTTACTCAGAGAAACAGTGTCACCAGAGATGGAGGCAGAGACGATGAAGTGGAGAGATGGAGCGGCTGGGGACTCTAGACCCAGAGAGGGAGAGGGGCTGTGTGCTGATGACTGGGGGCAGGATTGCAGGGTATACTCTTTGGTTGGTTGATGATGCATGGAGGGGATTGTAATCATGGCAATGAAATGATATACGATAGGATGAATGTAAAGCTAATGTTCTCCCATGTAAGCTATCACATAATTCTCAATAAAGCATTAAAACACACACACACACAAACCCACTGCCACTGATGGGGTCTGGCTCAGAGTGACCCTTTAGAACAGAGTCAAACTGCCCCATAGGGATTCCAGGGTTGTAACAAAGGAAGAGAGCTACGTGTTTCTCCAGAAGAACACCAATGGGTTCAAGCTGCTGACCTTTCAGTTAGCAGTAGAGCGCTTTACCATGGCACCACCAAGCCTATAAACATTCAGCAAAGTTTCACACAGGGCCTCTGCCTTCAAAGAACTCACAGGAAAGTGGGAGGTAGTCACAAGTAAGCACAAGAAAAAATTTAGCCAAACACTCTTTCACAAGAATAACCACAAATGACAACACTAGTGAGGTACACACACCCTTCAATGGTCAAACCTTCAAGATTAAAGGGACAGCATTTACCTATTGGGAATCCTGGTGTGGCGCTGTGGGCTAATGCGTCAGACTGCATAGTCAGTTTGAACTGTAAGGTCAGTGGTTTAAGCTCACCAGCTGCTCCTTGGAAACCCTATACAGGATTGCTATGGGTCAGAATTGACTCGACGGGCACTTAGCAATTTACCTAATGACAAAATTCAGAAGGGCCAGGAAAGAAGGACTGGAGATAGTAAACCCAGGGGAGAAGTGGGATTAGGTAATGTTACACTGAGGGAATTGCAATCATTGAGATGAAACGAAGTGAATGAATTGTTGAATGTAAACTGGTAATCTGCTCTCTAAACCTTCACTCAATTCACAATAAAAAGTTTAACAACAACAAAAAGGTGAAGCCAACAAGCCAAACCCTTTCTCACCTTTCCAAAGAAAAAGTCAAACCATGGAGTCGATTTCAACTCATACTGATCCTGTGTAGGTTTCCAAGACTATAAATCTTTACATGAGGAGATAGCCTCATCCTTCTTCCTCAGAGAAGCTGGTGGGTTTGAACCACTGACCTTTCAGATAGCAGTCAGTCTAACTCCTACCCCATAGTACCACCAGGTCTCCTTTGTTGTTGTGAAGTGCCATCCAGTCAGTTCCGACCCGTTGCAACCCTGTGAAGGGTTTCCAAAGAACAGCTAGTGAGCTTGAACCGCCGACATTGCAGTTCAAATGGCTTTGCAATCTGTCGCATTAACCCACAGAGCCACACCATGACTCCTTTAGGGATGCATTAATGATCCCAAAATGGGAAGCAAGCCAGCACTGTCACCAGCCTCAACGGCCCCCTACTCACTCCCACTTTTTGTTCCAGGGCAAAACAGGAACCACAAACCCCAATTTCTTCACACCAAAAGATTGTGGCTTGGAGGGAGGCGGAAATGGCTGAGGTGTAAATTCAAGACCTGAGTCACTTGAGCTACAAATGTTATACGCCCCTCCCCCATACCCAATTCTGAGGTCTTCCTGCTCCCAGTTTTCTCTTTCGGGCCCTCCCCCTTTGCCCTTTAGCCGCAAATGTGCACCCAAGTTCCCTATGTGATGCATATGAATCTCTCATCCTGCCTTAGAGGCTACTATGAGTATTGGGGAGGGAGGGGGACAGAGTGTGTGGGGGTACGTCAGGGAGAGACGGGAAGAGGAAGTGCCTTGGGCCCAAGAAAGAGGCTTGTCTTGGTGTGTGGGGACAGTCATTGTTGGCTTTCTGGACAGAGACTGACAGGATGGACTTCCTCCGGCTACACCTCCCTGGGCTGCATCAGGCCTTGAGGGGGGCACTGGTGAGAGGGGCAAAAAGATGCAGATTCTTTCACTCTGCTCCCGGGCTCCATACTTTTCCTTCCTTTGAACCTTTCTCCAGACTGGAGATTCCTTCCCAGATCAGCAGCCTCCTAGTCCAGTCCTTTCTGGAAATAATCTCCCTACCTCCCCAAGCACATCCACAGATCTTAGACCTTTTCCCCTTCCTTCTGCTGATCCTGTTTCAGTCTCGTCCCAGATCCCAGAACCCCTCTACATTCTCCCGGGACTTTCCTGCCATTCTAACTCTGGGCCCAAACCCCCAAAGGAGAAATCTGGGCCTCCCCTTAATGCCCTTTCTCCCTACCTCCCTTTTCTTCTAGGATTCCTTGAATACCTTTGTCTCCTACCTGGTGGGAGATGGGGTCCCCACCACAGGGGAGAGAGACACTCAGGCAGCCAAGGAACTGGAGAAGGTGGATGCAGGGAAGCCAAGGTGGGCTGTGGAGGAAACCGCTCAGGAGGCCCTGGAGGGTCTTACAGGCAACCAAAGTGAGGGGAATGGAGGGCTAACAGGGCTTGGAGAGGCTGAAAGACACCAGGAGGGAAGCTTAGCTGCTGAACAGACCTGGGGGTGGGGAGAAAGCAGCTCCCATGGGTCCCAAGTAGACAGACAGGAGACTGGAGCCTGGCAGACAGCCAAGTCTAGCAGGTGCCAGGAGCCGAGTGCCCCCTTGGAGGCCACGAAGATGTCTGAGGCAGGGTCTGCGACTGGTCAAGACAGAAGCAGTCAAGACCAGGAGAGGCAGGAACCTGATGAGCAGGAAGTGAACAGAGGGGAGACACTGAAAATCTGGGAACAGGAGGAGGAGGAAGAGGTCAGGGCAAGAGAGCCAGGGGTGGCCAGAGGGGCGGAGTCAGCGTGGTGCTGGCACAAGGAGCCTGAGGGGAAGGTTGATGTTGGTTGGCAAAATGCTGCAGGGAATGACAAGGAGACAGAGCAGGAGGACAAGGAGGCTGCTGCAGAGTTGACCCCAGAGGCTGAGGCCAGAGGGACTTGGAGGGAAGAAGAGTTGGCTGTCGTGCAGAAGGATGGCCACATCATGGGGGCACAAGAGCCACAGGGGCCAGAAGCAGAACTTGAGGTCTGGACAGCCTCAGGCAGGGAGGAGGCCAGAACAAGCTCAGGTAGTGAAGAGACGTGGACCAACTTAAGTGGGCAAGAGGTTGACCAGCCAGTGGTCAGGGGGCTAGAACATGGGGCAGTCCTAGGAGAAAGGTCTCCAGAAGGTACCAAGAGTGTCTGGTTCTTAGATGAGGCCTCCAAGGGTGAGTGGGTAGAGGAGGTAGACGAGAACAGGGAGACTGAAGAAACCCTTTTCCCCAAACAGACCCAGACCCTGGGGACTGAGGGAGTAGAAGAAGGGAATGGAGGTCAGGCAGCAGGGAAGGAGGTAGCAGGAGGCCAGGGGTCAGAGGAAGAGGTAGGGAAAGGCTTTGAGGGCCAGACAGACAGGGGCAGGAAAGAGAGTGAAGAGATCAGGGCTGGGGAGGCCCAGGAGGAAAGAGGGAGTGGCTGGGCCACAGAGGCTGGGCTGCCTCAGGATGAAGAGGCAAAAGGGGCTGAAGGTGAAGCTGACTTGGGGCCAACCCCAGAGGACAGACCTGAAAAGGTGTTCACGGAGCAGAGGCATGATGAAGAGGCTCAGAGAGGCCCAGAAATACTGAGTGGGGAGTGGGGAGGCATTGAATGGGAAATCACTGAAGGCCAGGAACCCGAGCTGATGAGGCAGACCCAGCCCCCAACAAAGAGACCTGAGGGCAGACTGGGGGCTAAGGAAGAACTCTTCAGAGCTCTAGCTCTGGGCATACAGGAAACAGAAAGGAACCTAGGGGAGAAGTCTAGATACTTGGAGCGTGAAGTCCTTGTCTTTGAGGAAGAAACCTGGAGAAATGAGAGGAGAAGGGGTGTGGAGAATGGAAATATCCAGGAGAAAGCAGATGCTGAGGAGGTGGGAGAGAAGGCTGCCATAGGCCAGCCACTGGAGGTTGAGGCCAAAAGAGGCCAAGAGTCTGAACGACTGGATATCCCAGGGGCAGATGGGGAGGGCAAGAAAGCAGAGGACACTGGGTGTGGGACAGAAGAGGAAGAGGCCCTGGAAGCAGAGGTGCCAGGTGGGTGCCATGGGGCAGAAGCAAGGACAGAAGCCAGAGAAATCAAGGATAGGGTAGAAGAGGCTACAGTGCTGTGGCGGGCAGACAGGATGCCCAAGAGAAGCTGGAGGCTGGAGGAAGCATCCCCGAGCCTCCAGGCTGCACAGATGGTGGAGGATAAGCTAGCCCTGGCTGTAAAGGTGTCTGGGGTGGAGAACAGGCCAGAAAGGGAAGCTGAGGATGCCTGGGAGAGGGAGTTTAAGAGAGGCTGGGACTCAGATGAGAGAGAGGAGTTTGGCAGAGGCAGGGAGTTGTCCGAGGCCCAGCATGGTGAGGCCACAGAGGGAGAAGACAGAAGTAGACAGGAGTTCAGCCTGGGGGACTCAGAAAAGGAGATGGTGTCTAGTAGAGGTCACCAAAGAGAGGCTTCTGAGGCCAAGGAGGGAGAGCAGATCAAGGCTGGGGAATCTGCAGAGGCAGAAGGAAGCAGGAGTATGGATCGCTTTACCTCAGGCTCCCAGGTGTGGAGAGCGGAGGAGGCCATGGCCATAGGGGAAGCTGTGAACATGGCCACAGGAGAGCAGACAGTGGAGAAAGCAGAGGTTGGGGGGTGGCAAGAAATGGAGCAGGAGGCACACAGTGAGGGACAGTGTAGAGACCACCATTGTGATGAAGGGGCACAAAAAATCCTTGATGTGGAGGATATTGAGGTGGCTGGAGGCCCAAGGCTAGAGGCTGAGGAGATAGGGGAGGCTGAAGAGCTAGAGGAGGATGGGGAGTTAGGAAAAGCTGAGGAGGCTGGAGAGGTCAGGGATGCTGAGGGTGCTAAGGAGGCCAAGATGGCTAGGGAGACTGAGGAGGCTGAGGAAGCCAGGGAGGCTGAGGACATAGGGCAGGCTGAGGAGGCTGGGAAGGTCAGGGATGCTGAGGGAGCCAAGGAGGCATGGGTGGCTGGGGAGACTGAGGAGGCCGAGGAGGCTGAGGACATAGGGCAGGCTGAGGACATAGGGCAGGCTGAGGAAGTTGGGAAGGTCAGGGATGCTGAGGGTGCCAAGGAGGCATGGGTGGCTGGGGAGACTGAGGAGGCCGAGGAGGCTGAGGACATAGGGCAGGCTAGGGAGACTGAAGAGCTTGAGAAGATAGGGCAGACTGAGGAGGCTGGGAAGGTCAGGGATGCTGAGGGAGCTGAGGAAGCCAGGGAGGCTGAGGAGATAGGGCAGGTTGAGGAGGCTGAGTATGTCAGAGATGCTGATGTAGCCAAGGACGTCCAGGTGACTGGGGAGACTGAGGAGGTCGGGGAGGCAGAGAAGACTGGGGAGGCTGAGGAGACTGAGGAGGCTGGTGAGGTCAGGGGTGCTGAGGGAACCGAAGAGGCCAGGGTGACTGGGGAGACCGAGGAGATAGGGATTCCCAAGGAAACAGGGGAGGCTGAGGAGGTGGGAGAGACCAAGGAGGCCAAGAAAGCTGAGGAAACTGGGGAAGCTGGGGAGGCTGCGGAAGTCTGGGAAGCTGAAGAAGCTGGGGAGGCCAGAGAGAACCAGAAGGCCAAGAAAACTGAGGAAGCATGGGAGGCTGTGGAGACCAGGGAAGCTGAAGAAGCTGGGGAGACCGAGGAGGCTGATCCAGAAGGCATGGAGGGTGTCAAGAAGGAACAGTCAACAGCTCAGGAACCTCCAGAGACTGAACCTGAGGCTGCAGAGACCATGGGAAGTGCCCGAGAGGGTGCTCACAGCAGCTGGAGTGAGGTGAGGACTCGGGCAGGATCCAGGGCCAGACAGCAGAATCTTGATGTCAGCCCCCAATACTCTGTGTTCCCCTCCCAGCAGGCCCTGCTTCCTGGGTCCCTCCTGGATGTCTCCGTGCCTCGGAGCCGTGCACTTCTCTCTCGAAGCTCCACACAACGAAGATCCCGGCCCTCATTCCGTCGCACCCCTGCACCTGGGCCACACGAGGAGCCCCCCAGCCTACCATCCGAGGCACAGCCATTGGCCCCTCAGCAGAGGCTTCTCCAGTCAGAGGACCCTCCAGAACCAAGCCCTCCAAGGCCTGAAGGGACCCCAGTGCCAACCAGAAGAAGGCCACTGGGACGCGGGTAGGCATAGGGTATGATGACTAGCCTGGGATGGGGAGGAGGCTGTGTACCTGGGACCAGCTCCCATGGACCTGTCTTGCACCTCCAGGTTTGGCCTTGCACACCCTGGCATGATGCAGGAACTGCAAGCCCGACTGGGCCAGCCGAAGCCCCAGTGACTGGGACCAGACCTGAATGTCCTGCTTTCTTCAAAACCCTCTGAAACCTTAGACAGTCTTTCCACCCTCTGGGCCTCAGTTTCTTGATGTGCTTATTCATGGAGCTGACAAAACCAGATGTCTCTAAGGATGCTGAACTTAGCTGTCCAGGGACCACTATCCCCACACCCCTCCTCTCCGACTTCCCTTTTGTTCCCACACCTTTATTCCTACAGAGCTGTGTAGGTATAACCCAAACCTCAAGAAATGGTGTCAGCCTAAAGGAGATGGGTTTTGGACCGTCTAAGGAATACCACTTGGAATCAAAGGTTGTTGGATAGCAGACTAGCCGTATTAGGGTTTCAAAATTATAGCTTAGTCTCAGAACCCTGACAACCACCCTCTGAGCAGGCCAAAATGGGAGACCCCCAAACGTTTAGGAGCAGAGATAGGTCCAGGGTAGTCAGAGGCTACAGAGTCCATTCCAGGCCTTCTGGCCCTTTGGGTCCTTTCTCTAAAAACCAGGTAACGCAGCAAGAGGAGCAAGAGTGTTTTATTAGGCACCTATTATGGTGGCCCAGCCCAAGAAGGACCAGCAGGCCCGGAAGCAATAAATAAACCATCCTCTTCCTAGACAATAAATAAATATCCCAAAAAATAAATATCTGTCAGTGATCAGAAGGGCTTTAAGTTACTGGATAGGTCTGGGGCTTGGGCAAGTGAGCTGGAAGCTGTCCTGTTGGTCAAGACCCTGGTCCCACAGGGTAAGAGGCCACTCTCAGGGCTGAGAGCTGGAGAGTGAGAATCCCAAGGCCTGGGATGGGTTCCTAGCCTGAGAGAGCAGCAGTAAGTCCCGAATGGCACGAGACAAGACGAGTTCCAAGGAGTGCAGCGACTGGTAGATGTAGAGGAGCTGGGGCCAGGATGTCTGGGCTGACATCTGTGAGGGGCTGTCCAAGGCCCCAAGGAGCAGCTCCTTCTCCTCCCCATCCTCCTCCTCAGGGAGGTGGAACCCCGCAGCCAGCACCTGTGAGAAGAGACCTGCAGGTCAGAGAATGGCCAGGCTGGGAACTTGAGACATCCTCATTCCTTTTTTGTGCCCAATAAATAGTTCATAATGACATCATGACTACAGAGTCATCTTGGACAATGCCTACTTCAGATCTTCTATTATGTTATCATCCCATGTGTCCTGCCTAACCTTTTGGTCATATATAAGTCATGGACCAAGGTTAGGCCACTCTTCTAGAATGGACTTGGGTATTTGGGGCTCAGAAAGTTCCTCTCTGTTCTTAAAAGATTATGTCAGGATCAGAAACAAGTAAAGAAGTGATGTGGCTGGTTCAGATTCTGCTTGCATTTTCTATTCTCTGATTAAGGGTAAAATTCCTATTTCCCTTTGAAATGTTCAGGAGGAGCCGGGTGATGTCAGAGGAAGGGAGGGGGAAGCAACCAACTTGATCATTGGGGTTGCTCATGGAGCCTCTCCCTTTAGACTTTCCCAACCTTGGGCAGAGTCCTTGTGTGGCACTGTGGGTTAATACCTTGGACTGCAAAGTTGGTTTGAACTACAAGATTGGCAGTTCAAGCTCACCAGCTGCTCCTCAGAAACCCTATACAGAGTAGCTATGGCTTGGAACCGACTGACAACAAGGGGTGTTTTAAAAAGGGAACCAATGAGCCTCAGGTATGTATTGGTCTCTGGAGTTGAAGAAGGTGAATCTCTACCTGAAAACGTAGATGCCGTTGTAGGTCCCGGAGATCTAGCCTTATGTGCCACAGCTGCATTCTTTCTGAGCTGGTCCAGCCCCTCTGATTCCCCAGTCCTCCCAGCAAGGCATGGAAGGGGCGAAGCATCATTGAGAGGAAGCATAGTCGTTCTGGGTCCTATGAAAAGGGAAAGGAGGAGTCAAGAAACACCCTCAGGCCAAGGATGACACACTTCAAACCAAACTCATAACTAACTGGGTCCCATTCCCATCCTCATCTTTAACTCCCATTCCATTCCTATTTCCACCCCAACTCCTGAAAGAATCCCATCCTCAACCCCATCTCCATCCCCTCCCCATGTTTACCACCATTCCATCTGGATTCTTTGATATCTAGTGTCTTTGATCTCTATTCTATCTCTGTCCCCACCTCATTATCAGCCCCACCCCAAACTCATCTGTAACCCCATTCCTTCCTCCATAACTTTCCATATGCACCTCCTACTTCACAGCCATCTGCAGTTTTGTTTTCACCCTCTTTTCAACTCTTTTCCTTATCCCAATCCATTCTTACTTCCAGCAATCCCCAATCTCTCACCTTGCTTTCAACATCTTCCCCATCCTAATGTTCCCATCTCTAATTCCAACTCTGGAGTCCTGGTTTGGCATTGTAGGATAAGTACTGGACCACAAGATCAGTTTGAACCACAAAGTCAATGGTTCAGACTCACCAGCCACTCCTCGAATATCCTATACAGGGTCGCTATGAATCAGAACCGACTCAAGGGCACTTAACAACAACTGTAGACCTTATAGTTCAAACCAACCTTGTGGTCCATCTGGTTCTTCTCCTACAGTGCCAAACCAGAACTCCCTTCCTCCTCTATACAAGTCTCTATTCCCAATCCCATTCATTTCCATCCCATATCTTTCCATGCCCAGTGTTCCTTGCATCCTCTCCTTTAACTCATTTTCTTATAGCATCCTATTTTAATTTCTTTATAACCAATGGCATCTTCAACCTAACTCAGAATCTATCCCCAGATTTATCCCCAAATCAATTTTCAGTCATGGAACAACTTCGAAATGTTAATTTGCCCTAGCTTCACTATCCTCAACTTTTTTGGCAGCTCCCCTCCCACACCTCACTAGCCCTCACAGAGAGGTGGCGCCAGGTCCAGAAGGTCAGAGAAACATTGTGGAACTGCTCTTCCTGGGGCAGAAGGTCCAGGCTCACTCCAGGCAGGTGGTATTCAGCCTGTGGGGTAAGGTCTGTTAGTGGAGACCCGAGGATTGAGTCTGCCCATCCCAGAGCTGGCTGCATTTTGGGAACTCACAAAGCTGTGGGCCAGACCCTGGACCTTGGAGAGCAGCTTCCTGGCCAGACGTAGGCTGATAGTGAACTCTCTCTGTAGCTCCTGTAGGCTCAGTGGGGGCCTTCCTGGGGGCCTTGGGAATCCCCAGACACCAGCTCGGGCCAGGAGCAACGAGAGCAGCATCAGGCTGAGCCCTGGAGAGATGAGAGGAGGGTGGGCAGGATGAGGGGAGCCTCAGGAGAAGAAAGACAAAGCCCCTTTCCTGAGCACATATTTCGCCAGCACTATGCAGAGACCCTCACAAGTATTGTCCCCATGACTCCTCAAGACCAGTCATGAGAGGCCACCAAATGATACCAGACGCAGACCATCTGGCATCTCTGTCTGAATGAAAGAATGATACCCCCGCCCCTAGGCAGACACAGCCCTGCCACAGTGCCTACCTTTGCAAGCAGATTGCTCTCACCCTCATTAACTCCCTTGACCAGGTGCCCTTTTCAGTGAACAACCTGCCTAACTGTATGTGGCAACTTGGGTGCTATTGTTTTCTCCATTTTACAGCTGAAGGAAATGAGACTCTATAGACTGACTTGCCCAAGGTGATCGAAGCCAGAGGTCAGATGTCTGGGACTGGACTCTAGATCTGTCTAAATACAGACCCTGTGTGCTTTCCTTGGGGACCTCAGAGGAGGCAGCCACCTGCCTCCAAAGTGGAACATTCTGCTCTGTCAAGAATTCCTTCGGCTCAGCCAGGTGTCTCTAATGGCCTGATCTGGCTACCAGGGGCCCAGGGGCTGGGTTGGCAATGTCAGGGACTCTATCCTAAAGAGTCAAAAGACAGGTTGGTCCAGTCTCCGCCAAGACAGGTGGGTCAGTCGTTCTGCAGGAGGACTTGCCTAGGGCAAGCCAAGCCCTCACCAGACGGAAAGAGGCTGCCACAAAGGGGAGTAGGGCCTAGAATGGGAGGCAGAACCTCTGTTTCTCATCCTGGTTCTTTCTTTGAGAAAGTCAAGCTCCCATCTGTAAAACAGGGGAGTCGAATGGCTGGTTTCTGAGGGTGCCTCCTGTCCTGTGTTTCTTGGACAGAAGGAAGAAGGGCAATGGGGTGGGAACATTGGGAAGAGGGCTGTGATCAGCGGTTTCTCCCACAGGGAACGGAAATCCAGTACTTACTGGAATTACATAATTCTCCTCGAAACACAAACCAAAACTGATCCTAAATCATCCTGCTCTCCACTCCATACCTCTTCTTCCCTGTTCTCATCCACAACATCTGGACTCTATTTCTTGAAATGTCCACTCAATGAAGGCAAAAAGGAGTGTCTGTAGACTTCTACTTCCCCAGGTAATGACCCTTTGGCATCCTAGAAACTTAAGGTGGTTCTTCCTAATTCTTTGGAGAGGACAGAGTGGGTGGTCCCAGTCCCAAGTGGATGTGGCCCACCCAGAATTGAGCCACTTACCCCAGACACTTACCCTAACTTCTCCCCACCTTCTGCGCATCAGCTAACTCTGAGTCTTAGCCCTGGCCCTTGAAGGTACTGTCCCTATATTCTCGCCCTTGGCCTTTCCCTGGCCCTGCCACCGGATCCTCTGGCCAATCTCTGACTCCAACCCCCAAGTTCTTTCGTCACCACTGCAGTCTGGACCTTCTTCTAAGCTTCAAACTTAAGACCCCTGACCCAGTCAGGCTGCTGATTCCTTGACTACAGCCCCTCACTCTTGCTAATTCTCCTGTTGTTCTTCCTCTAGCCAGTTCCAATTCTCAGTCTCAAACACCCCAACCAAACTCTTCATTTATCTGCCCAGTTCTGATTAAACTGTCTGTGCTACCCTCCCTATTCCTGCAAGCCAAGTTGTCCCATCCTCTGCCCAATCCTGCCAAACCACCCAGCCCTCTGCTCCAGACCTCCTGCCCCATTCATGCCAGTCAAGGTTTCCCACCCTCCAACCAGCTGTAGTCTCAGTCTTGCCCCCGAGCCCTTGACCCCTATCCACCCCAGCCAAGCTTTCCCATCCTTGCCTAGTCTCAACCAAGCCCATCCCTCTGCCCCCAGCCTTAGCCTCAGACTCACGCCAGCCAAGGTCTCCTGTCATCTGGCCCATGTCGGGGGCCCAGCCTCTTTGGCCAGCCATCCCCTGGGTGGGAGAGTCTTATACTGGGGGCTGTGCCCGGTTTCACTTGTACTTTCAGCTTTGCATTTGCTCAAGTCTTCCCTCATCACCACCCCTCTCTAAAATGGGGAAATGTAGTTTCCCTTCCCAGAGGGGTGGGAGGGGTGAGGTGGAGGGGGAGTGGGAAGCTGGCTTCGGGCAATCCAAATTCCTGACCCCTTGTTAAGCTCCCAGGTTCAGCCCTCACCTCGCTACCCTGCTTTCTTGAATGAGCTACCCTAGCACTAGTAGGTCCAAAGACTCGAACCCTGCCTTGCTTCGTGCTCTGTCCCCATCAGCCTAGGGCTCATACCAGGTAATGTTCTTTCAAAAGGTGGAAGGCCAGGTAAGGGGACTACCTACAAAAGAGGACTAGGAATTCTGTGTCATCTTTATTCTCTTCTGGTTCACTAGATGGTAAGGAGAAGAGCATACAAGGGAAGTCAGGGCTCAGTGCACAACTAGGATGGGGCTTTATGTGGGGTGAGTAGGGTCTCATCCTGGACAGAATCATAGCTCAGTCTGATAGCATTAGGGCTGGGATTAGCGCTCAGCCTGTGATTAGTGTCAGGGCTAAATGAGATCAGGTCCAAGGCCTGGAGTTAGGATTAGAGTTCACTATAAGGGTCTAAGCTCCATCTAGGGCTAAAGTCTGGGTTCAGTCTTTGAACAGGGTCAGACCTACGGATAGAGTTCAGGTCATGGCTGGGTCTCAGACTGGATTTGGAATTTAACCTGAGCTCTATCTAGCTATAAGGAACCTGGAAACTCAGCCATGGTGAGTTAGGGTTGGTAATAGAATTCCATTCAGATCAGGCACAGGGCTTTGTAGCTAAGAGTTGGCCAGGATGTGTCCTGGGTCAAGACTCAAGTTTGGACTGGGATAAGGGTTCAGTTGATGCCCAGGGTCAGAACTTGCGTTGTCTGAGGTGAGGCACAGGTATCTGTCCGTATTGAGAATACCTGTAGACCCAACGATCCACACTTCTGCTCTGTAGAGGCCCTGTCACGGCCGGGTTGCATCAACCACAGAACTCTCTTCCAGCACAGCCCTGCCCTGGATTTCCCATCTTTAGGGGTTTCTTGGTCTTCCCCGAGGTCCACAGCTGCCACTTTCCTTTTGGGACCTGTGGGGTTTCCCTGTTGGGTCCCTTCTGTGATACAGAAACCAAAGGGGCTTCCCCTTCCTGTGCCCCTCCCCCTCCCCTGCCAGGGCACTGCCCACCAAGTCTTCCTGGGCCCAACTACCAGGGAAGTACCAGCATCTGCCCAGGGAACAGGGTCAGAGAGCTTCTGGAGGAAGAGGAGGAGAAGGAAGAGGAGAGAAGAGGAAGAACAGAGACTGGGGCCTCCCTGACCCAGCGAGCACTTCCCAGTGATGGCGGCTCATTCCTCTGGGACTCCCCATTAGGGTACCATACATCCTGAAGCTGATGGTTAGGGCACACAGAGGTCAGGGCTGGTCTTTCTCATATGCCAGGTCTTGCTGTATTTTGGAGGCAGGGCTATCCCACTCACTCCCTGACCACATACGCCCTCACTTCAGCTACCTCTGCACAGCCACTCCTGATCCTTGGCTGTACTTCTGCACCTCTAGCTCTCTGGCCATTACCTTTTGGTCCTGAAGCTTCATTTAACTACCCGCCCCTCCCATTGTCTTCTAGGGCTACAGAGACCTCCTGTCCTTGTTGCTGCTTCTGTTGTCTTCTCCACCTGGCTGCAGCTGACTTCCCCAGCCTCACCCATACTCCCGCCCTATTTCTACTCCAGAAACTTTCCATTCATGCTTGAACGTGATGAGCCACCCATGCTTCATGGCTTTGCACCAGCTGGAATTCCCTTCCCATCGCCTCTCAAATTCCCTCTCCCCATTCTTCTCTGCACCATAGCCCTTATCACTGGCTTCCCCTTGAATGGCTCATTCCTTCAGCTAGAAATCTTTAATATACGTTTTTCATCTTGTTCACCTTTTTCTCTGTACCTTCATTCATTCCAGTCACACTGGCCTCCTTGCTTCTCCTAAGACACGCCAGACACACTCCTGCCTCAGGGTCTTTACACTGCTGTTCCTTCTGTCTAGAATGCTCTTCTTCAAGATATTTGCAAAACTCACTCTCTCCATAACATCTCTGCACAAATGTCACCTCTCAAACGGGGTCTTCCCTGACTGCCTTTCTGAACAATGCAACCCTGGCGCTGGCACTCCCACCTGATTCCCTGGATAATTTTCCTTTATGTTGTTGTTGTTAAATGCCGTGGAGTTGGTTCTGACTCACAGCAACCCTGTATAGGGTTTCTGAGGAGTAGCTGGTGGGTTTGAACCGGAGCCTTGCAGTCCAGTGTTATCCTACATCATCACACCAAGACTCCAATTTTCCTTCATAACATTCATATATTTTAGAACTCTAACATTTTTAGATATCTAACATTTGTCTGTTGGCTTTTTGTCTGTTTAGACTAGTGTATAAATTTTATTGTTGTTGTTGTTAAGTGCCATAGAGTAGGTTCTGACCCATAGTGACCCTATATATAGGGTTTCCAAGGAGCAGCTGGTGAGCTTGAACTGCCAATCTTGTGGTTCAAACTGATTTTGCAGTCCAGCAGATGACTTCTTCAGTGTTACATGGTGGAGGTAGCTGTGTGTCATGAGTCAGTTCCGACTCACAGCAACCATGGACAGGGTTTCTGAGGCTGTAAATCTTTACAGGAACAGAAAATGTCATCTTTCTCCCCCGAAACAGCTGGTAGTTTTGAACTGCTGACCTTGAGGTTAGCAGCTCAACTCATAACCACTATGCTACCAGAGTTCCTTGTATACATTTTAATGTTGGGAATTTTTCCTTGTTTGGTATGGGAATAGAGCTCCACTATTGTTAAGTGACGTGGTTTCTGTTTCGACTCATAGCAACCCTGTATAAAGTTTCCAAGGAGCAGCTGGTGGGTTTGAACTGCTGACCTTGTGGTTAGCAGGGCAGTGCTTATTCTACAATGCCACACACTTATCCTACAACACTACCCAGTAGCTAATAATAATAAGAAACACTTGCCATCCATCAAGTTGATTCTAACCTGAGCTGACTCCATGTGTGTCAGAGAACAACTATGGTCTAAAGGTTTCAGTGGCTGATTTTTTTCTAAAGTAAATCATCAGGACTGTCTTCCGCAATGCCTCTGAGTAGACTCATCAGTACCACCCAGGATTCCTGAGCTAACAATAAGCCCAAACCAAACCATTTGCTGTCGAGTTGATTCTAACTTACAGTGGCTTCATGGATGTCAGAACAGAACTGTGCTCCGTGGGGTTCTCATTCACTGATTTTTCAGGCGTAGATTGTCAGGCTTTCTTCTGAGGTACCTCTGGGTGAATGTGAACTGTCAACCTTTCAGTTAGCAGCTAAGCATTCACTGTGTGTACTGCCCAGGGATTCTGGAGCCAACAATACAAAGTTCTTAATATATCATTGTTGAACTAACGTGTCTTCTGCCACAACACAAGTGCCTAATCCAGGCTCTGCTCTGGAGGGTGATCTGTCTGGACTGAGTAGTAGGACTGGGGCCAGTCTGATCCCTGAGGTCTTGTTGTCAGCCTTTTCCTTCTCCAGCCAATCTGCTGAGATCTCCAGTCCAGGGCTGTGCCCATAGCCCACGGGTCCCCGTGGGTTTATGAATATAAGGGGAGGGTGACCTACCTGGTCTGCCAGGCATGGCCTTGGACTGCTGACCTTAGCAGTCCTGGGTAAGGCTTCAGTAGGCCAGTGAGAGCTGTGCTTACCTCTGTCTGAATCCTGGGAGGGTGAGCCTGGGCCAGCCTCTGCCCACCTGGGCCTCAGTTTCCACAAGGTCTTGGTTAATGGGCTCAGACTTGGGCTAGGGCAGCAGGAACAAGAAAGGATGTGGTAAAGGGAGACATTGCTGGAAAGGAAGTCAGAAACCGTGGGTTCTAGACTCCAATGTATCACTAAACCCTGTGGTGATCTCAGGTAACCACTGGCTTGCTGTGGACCTCAGTTTCTTCACTGAAGAGTAATAGCCATTTTCAAATGCTGCCTCTATCATTATGTAGAAAAATGAAAACCTAGATGACGATTAAAAAAAAACAAAAACCAGAGAAAACAATCCAGCCCATTTTCTGCTTTCCCAAGCCTGGCTGAGCGCCAGCACTCCAGGGGGCTGATGGAAATCCTAGGCACTGGAGAGTCAGATGCTCCAGGTGTTACATCAGAAAGGAATTGGTGAGGGGAAGTCTTGTTCAAGGTCATATAGCAGATCAGATCGGTGACAGATACAGCCTGGAACTCAAGTCACCCATTTTCAGCTTGGGCTAGTGAGGGGAATCCCTGAGCACTGTGAGGTCAGCTCTGAGATGGAACTAACCTCCCAGTGAAACCAGCGTGGTGTCTGCAGAAGGCTAGGGGAGGTGAGGCTCCCATACATGGAGGGTGAGACCCCGAGGCCAGGAGCGTGGAGGTGATAAGGCCCGAATTCCCAACCGTGACTGCTGGCCTCCCTCCCTCTACACTCACAGCCCACGGAGGCCCACTGCCATAGCAGGCGGGGCTTACTCATAACAGCAGTCCAGGGGCTTGGATGTCCATCCCCTCCCACCCAAATGTGGGGGTCTTATGGAAGTGCCTGCTGGGAGGAAGAGGCTGGCAAAAGAATAAAGGCTTCTCTTCTTTGGTTTCCCCCAGGACATGTAGGTACCAGGGCAGGACTGTGAGAAATTAGGCAAGTGGGATCATCTTCTCATAGATGCCATGGTGATTTCTGGGCGTTCTATGGAAATGACACACTGAGTTGTGTAGAGTGAGAAAAGAGGGGGGAGACCAGATGTCCTGGGTGTTGGGAAGGAAGAGTTTACAGCCAAGAGGAAAACACAGGCCAGGGATGAAAAGTTCCGTTTCAGACCTGGCTGGCTCTGCCCTCTCTTATGTGTGCCCAGGATCCCAGCC